GTGTGGTGTAAGCTGGGGTATTGTGGGTGGTGTAAGCTGGGGTATTGTGGGTGGTGTAAGCTGGGGTATTGTGGGTGGTGTAAGCTGGGGTGTTGTGGGTGGTGTAAGCTGGGGTGTGGTGTGATGGAAGCTGGAATTTGTGTTGTGGGAATATGGGGTGTGGTGATGGTGGCAGCTGAGGTGTGGTGTGATGGAAGCTGGGGATGCTGTGTTGGGGGAATATGGGGTGTGGTGACGGTGGCAGCTGAGGTGTGATGGTGGTGGCAGCTTGAGTGTGTGGTGGTGGAAGTTGGAGTGTGGTTTCATCGAAGCTGGGGTGTGGTGTGTGATGGAAGCTGGAGTGTGTGGCAGTGGAAGCTGGGGTGTGGCTTGATGGAAGCTGGGAAGGGGTGTGGGGTGTGATGGAAGCTGGAGTGTGTGGTGGTGGAAGCTGGGGTGGGGTTTGATGAAAGCTGGGGTGTGGTGGTGACAGCTTGATAGATGTATACATTCAGGCGCCTAACGCTTCAATAACACCAACTTTAAAGTCGATCTGGGATTAACATTCTAAATAATGGAAGCAGCCATCAAGTTAAAGCTTATATTTAATGGGTTTTTCCACAGACTAGGTTCATTAAAGGGGGTGGGGTGCTGAGATGCGGGAGGGGCTGGGGTTTTGTTATTAAAAGGCGAAATTAGTATATTTTCATTGGCTAGACAGACACAACTCTGCGGAGAAGTAGGCACATAAAATAGTTAAGATGGAAACCCCGGACAGATCTAACCAAAAAGGTCACCACGTGGTGCGGGCTGTTTCAAAGTGCTGACGATACACGGGGCAGACGAGAGCTTACCTGACGTCTCCTTCCGGTTACAATGTTTTCACGCTGGTGAGGAGATGGATACAGAATTAGAGGGAAGATGAGGTGCGTGGGTGAACTCACATGAGTCGATACTCCATTATAAATGTGGATGTAAGCATATTATAGGGATATATCTTAAAACGTAAATGATCCATTATTTATGGATATAGCCATAGACTTTATGCACCGATATGTATGGATACAGAAGAGAGGATGGGCAATTTTAATGAATAATTATAACTTTGATTATCCATTTTATATGGATACAGTCAGAAGAGTTGATTATCCAATATAAATGCCTATATCCATTATTTATAGTGCAATTATCACAAAAGGATATCCTTTATATTAACATCCCTTTTTTTCGAGGGGGGCTGGCAGGCAAAATCTTTGGACGGCTAATTGACCAACTTTCCGCCAGCCTATCGAGCTGAAACTTGGCACATAGACTCGTTGCCAATGGCAAAAAATTCTCTCAAATCACCCCACAACCTAACCGCAACAACAACAAAAAATAGTTTTGTTGCTGTGGCACATGGATGAAAATTGCAAGATTGAATGGAGTTTCCATGCTATTTGTATAAACATATCCCATAATGTGTCGATCCATTAAATCATGCTATATTTATTTGAAGTATGGGAGTATTCAATGGCAATAAATATTAACCAGTCCTTATACATATTATGCATAAATAAATGCAAGATGGCACGGAGTGATATCAACGTACTTGGGATGAAAGCAGATTTGGCTAATCTAACGGGTTTTGTCAATCACAAAAAGAATTGTGTCCGATTTTATCAGACAGTGGAATCTTTATAACGGGTACAACAGCGAGGTTTTGTGCGTATGTGTGTGAGAGGAGGGGTAGTTGCAATTTACTTTCTCCCCCCCCCCCCCACTTCCTTACTCTCTGTTCTTCACTCTTTGTGCGTCTATCTCTTTCCGACTCATCTTTCTCTCTCTGTCTCTTTATCTCTCCATCTCGCTGAGGAGGGGTAGTTGCAATTTTCTTTCCCCCCCCCCCCCCACTTCCTTACTCTCTGTTCTTCACTCTTTGTGCGTCTATCTCTTTCCGACTCATCTTTCTCTCTCTGTCTCTTTATCTCTCCATCTCGCTGTCTCCTTTTTATCTCTTTATCTATGCCTCTATCTCACACGCCTCTCTCTCTCTCACACGCCTCTCTCTCTCTCTCTCTTTCTGTCTCTTTCTCTATCTTTCTACCTCTCTTGTCATTTTCTGTTAACCAACAACCACATGTAAGCTCTATGTAAAACGACGAGTAGCTAACATCTCTATAAACTAAAGTCAACTTTTTAATGTCTTCGAATTATCAGACACATTCAATTTATTTTCAACGTTGCATTAAATTAAACTTTAGATTTGTAAACACATATCTCATTCCCGGAGTCAACAAGACGTGTGACAGGATATAGATAGAAACTGTTGGATCAGTGGCGCCAGTTGAGCGAATAGAGTGGTTGGAGTCAAATGTTGGCACATCCCTTAATAAATAAATAAGCGTGTTGAAAAAAAAAATGGCAGTCCTTTTAATAATATTACACCGGGACGTTCATACAACGCATATGTAAACTGAACATAAATCCCACCCTCCGACTCACCTGCCACCCTCCGACCCACCTCCCACCATCCGCCCCA